TTGCTTTTCTTAGCTGCAGTTTCATTGTGAAGAGTGGTGGGAAGCACGGCTCTCTGGAGCTGAATACCAACTGAAATTATAGGAAGGAAGCACTTAATAGAAATGATTTCAACCTTTGTGCTTTTGTTCCAAACTATAGCTTTTGGGTGTTTTTTGTGTGGTGAAAGGTCACAGTGAAGGAGGACGGGTTGATCAAAGTGTGAGACAGTCTGTCTGTAATGAGGATCGGTGGGGTGATGGGTCGAGTTAGTGGAGGGGAGAGTCTAATGGAGACAGGAAGACTGGCCACAGGAGGGCGGGAGAAAGAGAGAGTGGGCGAGACAAAGATGGAGGATTAAACTATCGATCTTCTCACCGTCTGCTGTGTCACGACCAGAAAGATCAAATCAGAGACCTGCGGTGGGAGTTTTAATGAACACCATCGGGATTGGCGGAGATGGGAGGAATGTACATTCACTTAAGTTCTGTTCTTCAGTACAAATTTGAGGTACTTTACTTGAGTCTTGTCTTTTACTTCCACTTTTTATTTCTTCTGCAGCACATCTCAGAGGGAAATACTGCACTCTTTACTTCACTACATTTATCAGCTTCAGTTACTTCACACATTAAGATTTCTATCCAAATATGGTGTTTTATTATAAAGTAAACTCCCCAACAGTTTGTACAGTACAGCTGAAATGATTAATCAGTTAGTCTTGTGACAGAAAATGAAAATGTGCTTTTTTTCCTCTGAATGATTGTAATAACTGTTGTGTAACGTTGAGCTTTGGACTGTTGGTTTGGACTCAACAAGTGTTGTGAAGGTGTCGCTTTGTCTCTGGGGAACTCTTTACAAACCAAACAATCAATCGATTCATGAAGAACATTTTTGGCAGATTGATCCACAATAAAAAATAATCATTTGTTGCAGTCGGATACTAAATAAATGAATGAATAAATGAAGTAACGGCGTGCAGTTTGAACCTGTTTGGGTTTGTAGGTCCACAGGTTAAAGAAAAGTAAATATAAATGTGTAGAGTAGAGAGTCCTCAGCAGAGGAACGGCCATTTAGGTTGATGATGCAGCAGCTTATTACGACCCATATTTAGGTTTTTTGTTAGGCTGCGACCTCAAGTTCTAGAAGAGGTCAAGTGACGTAATATAAAGAGCATGTAAGGAGGTGGATGGATGTGTCAAGTAAACTTTCACTCAGGACACCGAGGTTCGAGTCCCGTGTGAAAGAAAGTGTGAAATGTTTTATGTTAAATGTTTTGTAGATGACCTATGTAATGTACTTATTTTAACCCAAACCACCATTTTTAACTAAGCCTAACTAAACTACCACCGTTTCACGTTTACCACGTGTTAAACATCCTGTGAGTTAGGTCACGTGACTTACGTAAGGTACAATTTTTGTGGCAGTGACATCTCGTGGCCATACGACGGTAGCAAAGAAGGAAGTAGGACATATTATAAATAGAGTTCAAGTCCGTTTAATACCAAGTAAATGGTGAGTTATTTTGATTTGTAAGTTAAATAGCGTTACAGACTTGTAAAGTCAATTTACATAAAGTACTTTTTTAAACCCAAACCACATTTTCCTAAACCTAACCAAACTACGACCGTTTCACAACATTAACCACATTTTTAATGTCATGTGACTTGCGTATCGTGACTTACGTAACAATAGTTAAAGCTTGATTTACATGGCGTGTAGCCAGGAATTTATACTTGTGCGTCAGTGTATCCATCATTGTCTATGAAGATTCTCAGTCATCCAGGTCATAGTTATCCAAGGAAGGTTAAAATCAAGGGCAACTGGACTTGGTTGAAGATACTGGAAGACGTTTCGTCCCTCATCCAAAGGACTTCTTCAGTTCTGACTGACTGGCAGGGAAACTCAGCTATTTAACCTCAGTGGGGTCATTGGCCCGGGTCATCGATACCGCTGGTTCGTTAGTGTTCCTTGTTGCTGTAACGACAGTCGTTACAGTCGTTAAGACTACCTGTGGCCAAGACTGAACGACCATCGTTGGTATCTTCACCTGAGGCCAATAGGTTACGTTTGTTGAGTTTCCTGGGAAGTGATGAAAGGACAGCATTCTGCAATTACACCAACAAACACTAGTCGGCAGTAGAGCTACACCGTCCACTGTGTTGACTTTTGCCAAGGCTACCCAGCCGACCAATCACAGTGCTTACGGTCTACGTCGACTCAACGTTTAGTCAAATTTTTGAGGACGTGCACCTAATTTTGGGAGGCATTGATAAACAACCTATTTTGTCGTTTAAGTTGGACGACTTGACGCACTGAAGGCCCGCTACACCTGTCACAGGACTGATACTTGCAACACTCGTATATGTTGTTTTAGGGAATGGTCATTTATGTCGTTTTTGAGAATTTACATATTTTGTAGTTTAGGTACGAGGACGTGTTGTTCAGGAATATAAGAAGAGACTGATGGGACACTATGAACCTTTGAAACCAATATGAAACTATGAAATGTTGTTAAATGTACTAATGGTGCCAGAACAACAGGTTAAGCTACACAAAGCTGTAAAGTTAAGCTTCAGAGATGTCGTCACTCCTGATATGTCATCATATTTTGAGTTTTGGTGCTACAGCTCCCAGCGACGTTGCCGTGTAGTCCGTTTTGTAGCCTGCGTTAGTAACCTGTACATTTTGGTGAATTTAAAGAAAAGGGTCAGGTCCTGGTTAACGTGCAGTCTGACACAGACCGCAGTCAACATTTCACGAGAGCCAACTGCGTGACGTGATCTCTGTTATCGCACTGTGAGTAAAAGCCTCGAGACATTTAGCAGAGTGTTTTTTAAAAAGCTACACTTTTTGAAGTACAACAGCTGAATGTCCAGCCTCGCCCACAGAGAGAAGAAGCTGACAGCAAATACCAAAATATCCACACACAGATGGCAGATGTCCTCACCTGTGGGAGTGACACTGAGGACTGAATGTGAAATGTTGGAATATCTTCAATTTGAAGCGCCTGCAGCAAAAGCAGCTGAAAGCACCAGAGGCAGTCAGGTCCTGTCGTCTTTACTGAGTCCAAACGAGGGAAATAAAGCCAGAAGCATCAGAAACTGCATCAAAATGGAAGTAAAACCTCAGGTATTGAAGAATAAGGCAGTTTTTTCTTTTGTGTTTTGGATATTTGGAGCCATGTGGTTACTGCTCTGTTGCTGTTTTAGTTTATCCCCCATAACTTAGGCTTTTACCTTTCATATTGTAACATACAGCGTACTTGTTCATTCTTCCATTATTACCTCTAAATATCTAAAACATGATGATGTCTTTCTGTCCATATTCTAACATACATTTGTAGAATGAATTCAGTAAATAATAATAAAGATAAAGTTGGCAGGGTTCATCCTCAGGGGACCATGAATGTAGTCAGTCCTGAAAAATAGCTTCATGCTAATATTAGCATGCTGTGTTCACATTAATCTTTGCTCATTAGAGGTATTCTGTGGATAATATGAAGTGTTAGGTGAAGTCGGTAGGATTCACCCTCTGGGCATCATGAACATCTCTATTATCTAATATTACAATTCATCCAAGAGACATTTCAGTCTTGACCAAAGTGTAAGTAAAGTTTTGAAATGATCAAGGTCACAAAGAGAGATACAAAAGTGAAATATTAGAAATAAGCACCATCAGCACAGTAAAGAAACAACAGTAAAACATAATAACACAACATCGTAACGCAGAAGCAATAATTGACCTTAAAAACGCACACGATTGCACATATTAGACAACTCAAGGGGAGACAAAGGTAGGTTTAAATATAAGAGGCTTTTTAAAGAAATAGAGACCGCAGAACGTACACAGAGTGGGCGCCGCCGCTTCCAAGGCAACACATTCTCACTCTCGTCAAACGTGGACGCTTTGTCAACACCACCAATAAATATGCAACTTCCAGTTAGACTTTCAAAGTAAAACTACTGGTTAACATTGTGAGATGGGATCATTTCAGTCCCTCCAGGATCTCGAGAGCCTTTTTGTTTTATTTTGTGGCAGCATTTCTAAAAAAAAAATGCGACCTAAGTTGCAATGTTAATGGGGTTTTTTTGTGATGAAATTGTGGGAATAAGTGAAAACTGCAGAGGTAGATGTGATTTCTTTTACTCTTGAATTGTAGTTGAATCATTAAACAGTCCCTGCAGGACTTGGCGGGCCTGACCCTGACCCTGCATATTTAAACCAGCTCACCTTGATTCTTTGTTGCAGCTGACCGGGATGCAGCTACCTGTGTCTCAGTGTCTCGTCTGATGTCCTCCATGTGTTTTTGACATTCTCTCTCTCATGTTTTGGCGGCCAGTAGACGATTTCCTTTATGTTCGACCACAAAACTGCACGCTCTGCGGAACAGTTTCCCCGCTTTGGTCTGGATCCTGGTCTCCACGGTCCTTTGCTGTTATTTTTGTAGGTAAATGTGAGACGTTGGTATCTCACATGTCTGCTGCGTCTTCTAAACAAGGAAGTGAGTTTGCTGACGTGGGCGACAAACGACAGCGATAGTTCGGGTTTGCGGAAAAGTCGCGCTGAATTCGTGAATAGCTGCGATCGCGACATCGCAAAATCCTGGAGGGACTGCAGTTTGCTTAGTTTTTGCACCAAAACTACTTCGTTAGGTTTAGGAGTAGGTCGTAGTTTGGGTTAAAATAACAAAAAACAGTCACTGTTGACTTTTGGTTTCACACAGGAAACAAACACCCGTCTCCTGGGTGACAGTCCATCCATCCACCCCGACCACCACCGTACTCTGACTTTTCTGTTATTTATACTAGGCCTATTATTTATGCTAAAAGGGCTTCTCTCTGCGTTACAACCTGACGCCAAGGGGTCTTGACTGAGTCCCCTTATGTGACGACCAAGAACAGGTTGTTCCACGTCACCTTTTGTCCGACAGACGTTGCCACACATAGATTCACGCTGCTACCGTGGCGACAAAGCTTCCGATTGATCGACCACACTGATCTGATTAATGTGATCTTGTCCACAGTGGGAGAACGAGCAGCTGCACAGCCTGGAGGAGAGAGGCCGTCTTCTCCTCTCCCTGCAGTTCCTGCCTCCGCTCAGTGTGGAGGATAAAGACGCCGAGGGAGGAGGCGAAGGGCGTCGCAGCGGGGGGCTCTGTGTGGGCGTGAAGCGATGCGCCCACCTGGCGGCCATGGACGTCAACGGATTCTCCGACCCCTACGTCAAAATGTAAGACCTCTGAGACCCTGTTGGAAAAGTTAGCAGCTGCGATACAGCATGTCAAAGAGCGTCAAACTTTCTCAGAGATTCACAGTTTATTGTTCAGTCCTCCAATAAGTTACAGAAACAGGAGCAGAGAAGTTGGATTCACTGTCACAAGTGTTGCTTTAGAAGTAAAGTTAACATTAGTATTTGGGCAGAGAAAATTACCTCATTAAGTCAACTGAAAGTGTTCAAATGCAAACTTCTCAATGTAAGCTGGTGCGTTCATTCAAAATCACGTCGCACAGACAGTCACAAATGTGTTGGAGCCGAACTCTGAGTCTTCCTGCTGCTCACCGAGGATGTTAAAATACCGGAGTTCAGCACTCAAGAGACAAATAAAAGCTGGAGTGTTGCCATCTTATTAACTTCGCTAATCAATGATGCAACTGTTGTTAAAGACGCACCATCTGTTTCCCAGCAGGAAGGATAATCAGTGGGGGAGAGGAAGCTGTATGAGCAGAGTCTGGTCTTACCGCGGGCTATAGAGTCGGGGATTTAAGGCTTCTCTGTGCTCTTGTTTCCTCCGGCACTCGAGGGACACTCGCTTTGAAGAGGAGGAGAGTTTTCTGTCACACGCCGTCAGAATACAAACTGAGTGTGAGCCAGAACAAGAAGGCGACTTGACAGCTGAGGGTCGAGTGAACTCGCAGATATTTACCGGTTTTAAAAAATCACCGCGGCGCTCAGAATATCAGCATGCTGCGTCACGGCTCGCGTTCAGCCAACACACCCCGACGGGTCAATGCTGCTTTTAGAAAGCAGGCACGGTTCAGGCGGCGTCCTCACCTGTTCCTCTCTGCGCAGTCTGTGTTTGGCTTTTATTATTATCTATAATCCAAGAAGAGAAACCTGTAACCTCTGACTTTTAGCAGACGCCGCCCCGTTTCCCGTCTGTTCACGGTACACGGTCAAACTGTTCAGTCAGCAGGTGTGATATATTCCAGCTGGCAGCTCAGGGCTCCTTCATTTCCTGCTTCTCAGACAGATCACAGGGTACCAGGGGCCCCAAACAGAACGGGGCCTCCAACTCCTACTATTCTGCAGCAGCGTGCACAGAAGTGACGAGGAGGCAGCCGAGCGCATCAGTCTAGGCTCCAGCTCGCCTTTATTATTTGATGTCGACCATTGCAACGCCCTCCTAGCAGGTCATCCAGCTTGTGAAACCCCTGCAAATGGTTCAGAACGCAGCAGCGCGTTCCCGAATCAAATTCAAGTCCCTAATGCTGCAAACAGAGACTACTGGGTCTGAACCATCTACCTAAACTCCATAATAGAAGCTTACATTCCTCCTGGGCCGCCACGCTCCTCCAACGAACGCCGCCTGGCTCTGCCATCCCTTCACACAAAGCAGCCTCAGTCCCTGTTCTCATCTGTGACACCACGATGGTGGAACGAGCTGCCGCACGCCATCAGAGCAGGGCGTCGCTCTCTGACTTCAAGAAGCTCTTCGGAGAACACTTCTAACTAGGGCTAGGCGATAAAACAACAATGATAATTATCGTAATATAAGTTTCATCAATATCAATATAATAAATGTTCAATATATCGTCAATAAATATTTGGTTTAATTCATTTGAATTGCAAACCAATTAGCCCTTAATTTTTCTATTACAATGCTTATTTTATTGAGGAAAAGGGACTGAGAAAAAAATGTACTAATCATATTTGTTAAAACAGATTTTATCATAATAGTTTTGAATGTTCTCCCTAAGTTTGGCATCAAGTGTTTGTCACATTCTGACCAAAAAGAAAAGTTTAACCAACAATTAACCATCTGATTTCTTCAGTTTTCACTCAGGAGCAAAAATCGGCCTTTAAACTTGATTTGACATTTATTGTGAAAATTATCGGTCTCGAATGATATGAAATGTTTTTATCCTGATAACATTTTTGGCCACTTCGCCCAGCCCTACCTCTAACCTCGAACATGCACGTCCTGTGCTCTTCTTCTTCTGTCTCCTTACAGTTGTGTTGTTTTGATTGTTCTGTTCGTTAACTCCTACTTCTTTCTCTTGGTATTTACCCCATTGATGCCGTACTCGCTAAAAGCTCTTACTAGTATCAGTTGTCACGTGTAGATCTCTTACTGTACTGATGCTTGTGTGTTGTTCCTCAAATGTCACTTTGGATAAACGTCATTTGGTAAAATAAGAACGGTGATGATGACGATCATGAAGATGTTGATGAGTTCAGGCTTCCCCATTCTGCTCTCCGCCAAGTGTGAATCACTGAGCCCGCAGTGTGTGTGTGTGTGTGTGTGTGATTAATTATTAATTGCTGATTCATTAGTGATGATTTACATCATCCAGACTGCGGTCTGTATGAAAAGAATCCTGCAGAGAGTGAGTGTCTGCTGCGAGTGCTCAAACAATCCGTTAATTAACATTCAGCTTCATCTCCAGCTCTGTAATTTCAGATTATTGTGTTTTGTCTTATTAATGATGTTTTTTTAAATTGTTATTAGGCTCACAGCGACACATGATGCAGTGAGATGTCTGTGAGTCACTGTTCTGATATGATGGAGGTTCATTTCTGATCTCAGATTCAAACACTCAGATTTATTTGTCCTCAGTTCGATAAAACGCTTCGTTACCACGTCCATAAACTGCAGATCAGATGGAAAATGTGGATTAAACTACCCAACAGAAGTTAATATGAGCATCTACAGCAGTAAAATACAGCAGGAATATTAATCCAGAAACATCAGATACAATAGAGAAACGCTGACAGGAACATTTGACTGTACTATGAGTACTTTTACTATCACTGCTGATAATACTTACATTTTCCTTAAGTACAGTTTGGAATACTTGCAGTGGAGTATTTAGACAGGGTGGTATTAGTGCGTTTCTGGAAGTAAAGGAGTACTTCTTCACCCCCCTGAAGGTCTTGTCTTTGCTGACCTCCAGTGGTTTAACTTCCCATCTCGCTGCGGTGATGTACAGGTGTACTCAGGTACTCAGTGACATCACTGCTGGGTGTGGTTACAGGTGCGACGGAGCACTCGTTACTCCAAAGCAGAACAAACTAATCTGCTCTTTCTTCTTCTTCCCCTCTGCTGTCAGATACCTGAAGCCCGACATACAGAAGAAATCCAAGCACAAAACGGCAGTGATCAAAAAGACCCTCAACCCTGAATTCAACGAGGTAAGAACCTGACTTCTGCGACCGCACTTGTTTCCCCTCTGGTGGTGGTTTTACTGCGCTGCTGAGTGGCAGAACATTTTCTTACCTTAAAACAAGAAAAGTGCATTTACTGAACCACCCTGTCCTTTCTGTCTCATCTTACGTCAAATAGCAGCTTTTTAAGAAATGAAATTATAAACATGCAAAATGTATTCAGCAGTTTCCTAATTAGTCTATAATGAGGGAGGTGCAGACGGGGAGTTAACTAAGGGAAGCAGGAGCTGATGGGATTCAGTCCTTTATTTAAATATTATAAAAATGTTTTTAATGTTGGTTACAAACAACCGCATGGCGTGATGAAGCCTTCATACCAAAAATGTGCCACTTCATTGTTAATCCTTTTTTATAACTTAAGAGAAGAAAAAGGCACATGTATTACACTACAGACTAAATACAAACTTAAGACTACAAGTCATGGATATGTCCCTTTTTTGCATTGTTTGAAAACAGACAACTTTTTTTAAATGAACATTTCTGTTCTCGTGGACGTAGGATCACATCCTCTGTCCTGTGTGGTTTGGTTTAAACTCTGTCACGTCTGTCACATGTGCTCAGTGTGAACCTGCTTTCATCTGTGAAGAGCACAGGGCGCCAGTGGCGAATTTGCCAATCTTGGTGTTCTCTGGCAAATGCCAAACATCCTGCACGGTGTTGGGCTGTAAGCACAACCCCCACCTGTGAACGTCGGGCCCTCGTACCACCCTCATGGAGTCTGTTTCTGACCGTCTGAGCAGACACATGCACATTTGTGTCCTGCTGGAGGTCATTTTGCTCTGGCAGTGCTCCTCCTGCTCCTCCTGCTCCTCCTTGCACAAAGGCGGAGGTAGCGGTCCTGCTGCTGGGTTGTTGCCCTCCCACGGCCTCCTCCACGTCTCCTGATATACTGGCCTGTCTCCTGGTAGCGCCTCCGTGCTCTGGACGCTACGCTGACAGACACAGCAAACCTTCTTGCCACAGCTCGCATTGATGTGCCATCCTGGATGAGCTGCACTACCTGAGCCACTTGTGTGGGTTGTAGACTCCGTCTCATGCTACCACTAGAGTGAAAGCACCGCCAGCATTCAAAAGTGACCAGAACATCAGCTAGGAAGCATAGGAACTGAGAAGTGGTCTGTGGTTCCTACCTGCAGAACCACTCCTTTATTGGGGGTGTCTTGCTAATTGCCTATAATTTCCACCTGTTGTCTGTTCCATTTGCACAACAGCATGTGAAACTGATTGTCAATCAGTGTTGCTTCCTAAGTGGCCAGTTTGATTTCACAGGAGTCTGACTGACTTGGAGTTACATTGTGTTGTTTAAGTGTTCCCTTTATTTTTTTGAGCAGTGTACATTTTCATGTTTAAAAAGTACAGTATATAAAAGTACTAAGAGTATTTGGGGCAGAATAAACTACAGGACTTGTTAGGAGATACGTTCACTGCTGGTTTGAGTCTGTGCAAGAGATTTGTTGACAAGAAAACTAGAGAATATCACCAGACTTATCCTCCAAATATCACTGAGACAACACAACAGGATGCAGGTTTTTAACGCTGGACCTCACAGACCTGTATCTCTGCAGGAGTTCTTCTATGAGATCTCCCTGTCGGAGCTGGCCAACAAGACGCTGGAGGTGACGGTGTGGGACTACGACCTGGGACGCTCCAATGACTTCATAGGTGAGACGCAGACGGCTCGGTCTCATCACATGATCCTCGCAGTGATCTCAGCCTGTGGAGCTTTGAACCATGTGTCCTGTTTGTAAAAGTTCTCAGGAAATATGTTTTATGCTTTAGTGTAGAACGTGTGAGTGAATAATAAAAAAAAATAAACAGGTTCATCCTCTGTTTCAGCAGCTGTAAATATTAATGAATCTAACACATGCAGCTCGTTAGTGTTGGCAAAGCTGTTCAGTGAAAGCTTGTGTGTGTTAGTTGCCATCTGTATTACTGATCACCTTTATTAATATTCGTGTTATACGAAAAGAAAGAATGCATCTTAAGACCACGGCGTAATTAGACCTGCATCTGTATTTGGTTTACTGCTGTATTAAATCAAACGTCTTATCAGAATAAAACACAACGCAGTGAACAAGTTAAAGATGAGGCTCACATTCTGGACATTAAAATACTCCTTCATAATGAACTTGCACAAAATAAATCAAGCACACTGAAGTCTGTGAGGGTTCAGGGCCGTCCAGCTGTCAAACCTTCAAGTTCATGAGGGCTCTCTCGCAGACTTTCCGGTAGTCCGCATCACTGTAGGCCCACAGGCGTTAAAAACAGGTAAATAAACACGGAAGGACCAACTAGGGTTCAGGCTTTAGGGTGGAGGCTGGAAAATGAAATGTCTTGAAATGAAATGGCACTGTTGTTTAGATGTGATTTGAAACTCCGCTCTCTGTCTGTTGTTGGTGTAGGCGGCGTCTGTCTGAGCTGTCACTCCCAGGGCGACGCCCTCCGACACTGGATGGACTGCCTCAAGAACAAGGGCAGGAGGGTGGAGCGGTGGCACATCCTCACCAATGAGCTGCCACGATCTGTCAGCCACGACTAAACCCAACGCAGCATCCTCCGAGCACGCAGACGGTGGCTGTCAGGGATCACTCTGTTCACAGAGATCCTCCGGTTGCTTTAAGGCGCGGACTCGAGCAACTTCACCACAGGAACAGTGTATTATAATAATAAGAGCCACCATGACGGGCGGAGAGCAGGGTGAAGCTGGAGCAGCATGGTGGTGTGCCTTCACTATTGGTCATCCAGACCGATCCATGACGAGGGCTCACACAGATTCAACAGAAACTACGGCTGGAGAAGGCCGAAATTACACTGCATGTTTTTTGTTTTGTAAATCACGTCCCATGCGCTCAGTTGAAGAAAAATCAGTTTTTCAGTGTTATGTTTTTGGTGTTATGACCCCCCCACCCCCACGCCGTCTGTTCCAGTCAGAACTGCGTCTACATGGACAGAGAACATCTTTGCATTCAGCCAAACTATATATATATATATATACATATACATATATATGTGAGGATTCAGAAAGTGTTGTTTTGAAAGTTTTTTTATATTATAAAACACAATAAAATAAACTATAAAAGATTTTTCCACACATAGGTAAAAGAAATAAATAAATCAGCCTATATATGTATAGATATATAGGCTGATTTATTTATAAATAGGTAAAAAAATATAATAAGGTAAATTAAAAAGTTTTCGGTTCCCTGTTTTAACCAGTTTGCGACATTTCCAGTCCAAATGCGCAGAAATAACTGTTTTTGTACAACATATACTCATATACAAGTCATGTCAGCTTCGTCACGGAGGCAAAGGTCTTAAAAATCTGTGCAAGGTTAATTAAAAAAAAATTCATCCAGATGGTTAATTTAGAGCCTAGAATTATCTTAAGAACCGCTATATAGCTGTATAGCTATATGAACAGTCCAGTAGTCTCGACACACAATGCCTGATACTTGCCTGAGACAAAACCGAATGTAATTTCAGTTCATTAAGTAACTTTTTTCCCCTTAAAATAAATATTGGGTCACAGATCTATGATAAAAGCTCTGTTCATATAAGTGTATAATACAATAATAATTTTTACATTTAATGTGACGTAAGACTTGGTGGAGATCTTTTTCATTACTGTAAATGGTATTTAGCCTAATTATACTGAAAAGACCAGCGGCGTGTTCTAGGATGGAACATTCATATTCAGCTACAGAACATAACATGGAGGCATTTGGGGCAATTTTTATGATGATTGGCCCGTTCAGGGTTTTGACTAATCGAGTTCAGGGCTTTGAATGGGCATGTTTAGGGATTTGATTGAGCAAGTTCAGGGCTTTGATTGGGCATGTTTAGGGCTCTGATTGGGCGTGTTCAGGGCTTTGATTGGGCATATTTAAGGCTTTGATTGGGAATGTTCAGGGCTTTGATTGGGCATATTTAAGGCTTTGATTGGGCATGTTTAGGGCTCTGATTGGGCATATTTAAGGCTTTGATTGGGCATGTTCAGGGATTTGATTGATTGGGCATGTTTAGGGCTCTGATTGGGCGTGTTCAAGGATTTGATTGGGCAAGTTCAGGGCTTTGATTGGGCATATTTAGGGATTTGATTGAGCAAGTTTAGGGCTCTGATTGGACACGTTCACGGCTTTGATTGGGCATATTTAGGGCTTTGATTGGGCATGTTTAGGGCTCTGATTGTACACGTTCAAGGCTTTGATTGGGCATGTTTAGGGCTCTGATTGGACACGTTCAGGGCTTTGATTGGGCATGTTTAGGGCTCTGATTGGACACATTCACGGCTTTGATTGGGCGTGTTCAGGGCTTTGAATGGGCGTGTTTAGGGCTCTGATTGGGCATGTTTAGGGCTCTGATTGGACACGTTCACGGCTTTGATTGGGCATATTTAGGGCTTTGATTGGGCATGTTTAGGGCTCTGATTGGACACGTTCACGGCTTTGATTGGGCATATTTAGGGCTTTGATTGGGCATGTTTAGGGCTCTGATTGGACACGTTCACGGCTTTGATTGGGCATATTTAGGGCTTTGATTGGGCATGTTTAGGGCTCTGATTGGACACGTTCACGGCTTTGATTGGGCATGTTTAGGGCTCTGATTGGACATGTTCACGGCTTTGATTGGGCATATTTAGGGCTCTGATTGGACACGTTCAAGGCTTTGATTGGGCATGTTTAGGGCTCTGATTGGACACGTTCACGGCTTTGATTGGGCATATTTAGGGCTTTGATTGGGCATGTTTAGGGCTCTGATTGGACACTTCAGGGCTTTGATTGGGCATGTTTAGGGCTCTGATTGGACACATTCTCGGCTTTGATTGGGCGTGTTCAGGGCTTTGAATGGGCGTGTTTATGGCTCTGATTGGGCGTGTTCGGGGCTTTGATTGGGCATGTTTAGGGCTTTGATTGGGCGTGTTCAGGGCTTTGATTGGGCATTTTCAGGGCTATGATTAGGCACGTTCAAGGGTTTGTTTGGGTGCTGTTATGGCTTTGATGTGGTGACAGTCAAATTTGGCAAAACTGGCAGCTACAATAAAGCTGCAGAATTCTTGTCTGCTTTTTGTGTGAAATATTTTAAAGGCAGCAAAATGTTCCAGAGTTTCACCTGTTTGAACATATGGTCAGTTTATCTTCAAAGGTGCTAACAGTGAAGGAATGTCAGCAGTCAGTTTAGTTTAAAGTCCACAGTCGGCTATAGAATATACTGTAATTTCACAAGTAATGTGTAATTGGACGTTCGCTAAGCCCCGCTCCCTTAATTACTGTCACTGTCAATCTTTCTGATCCCTCATAGCACATATACAGTTCACAACAATAATAATGGCAGATTTACTATTAAAATTCCCAGTAAAATTTGAACAGACAAAGTAGCATTTCATTGCTAGCCAGCGACAACTATTTTTACCATTTTTATTTTAGCTAGTAAAGATAACGTTAGCTCCAGGATGTGGCTGAAAAAACATGCTTTGGAGTCATTAATGACGTCACGCCCAAGTCAACCGTGTTCCAGTAACAAGTCGCTTGGCCAGCCATTATTTACAACTAACCAGGTTAGTCATTGTTACCAACGCCAATTGATAAAATTGCATTATGTTCACGGACAGCAGTTGGACAGTACTTTGTGTATGATAATATATATGCGACACAAATACACATAAGTGCTAATAAACAGTATAACCTATAACTGTTTATACACAAAGCAGCTATCTTGGATCACAAAGTCGTAGGTAGTGCAGTTCTCCCGACTGTCTTAGTCAGAAATCTGACTTAAGGGGTTGTTCCATTTGAAATTTCTGACTGGAAACTGAAGTTTTGACTCCAGTGCAACTGGAACAAACCAATAGATCATGATATCACACTAACAAACTGAGGCTAAAGCTAACCGATCCTTGGTAAGAAGCGATAATAAACCTCACCCGACGATGATCGATGTAAAAGACATGGAAATTTATTATTATACATATTATTGTTGTAGTGGAGGTCAGAGCTATTAGTCCTAGTATTATGATAATAAGAAGGGAAAAATTTAAGCTCATGTGCCTATTTGGCTGCTTAGCTTACACACTTGTTCGTAAACATTCAGATTTCCAAAGTCTGTTTTTACTTGACGACAAAATCTCTCAGGTAGCAGTGGCTGGGATTGCTGAAGTGTAAACGTCCCCAAAACTACTAAAGAGCAGGACAGAGCCGCTAACGTTAGCTTAAACTATCTAGCATTAATTCCGCTCCTCGGTCTTGGAAGTAACTCTCTTGGAAGTAAGACAGTTAGCGGGACATGCTAACAAGTGTAGCTTACATTAGAACAGGTAAACCAACGCATTCTCATCTCAATGCCTCATAACGGACACTTTCAGACAGCGTGACAAAGTATTTTACGAAGGTACCCTTCAGCGTCCGTATGAAACGCCATTGTTTGCTACTTCCCAGCAACACAAAGGAGGCTAGCACTACCTGCTAGCACGACCAATGTGCACAGCTGTACAGCTGTAGGGTTAGCCGGTCGACATGCAGTCACTAAGTCAGTCACTTAGGTTTAGGTACTAACATTTCTGATGGTTGTGGAAAGGGTAGGGGATTGCAGGGGGCTGTCAACACCTTTTTATACAAACGGGTTTCTGAAAGCGTTGGTATTAGATGCCCTGAGATGAGAACAATCTGGATAAACCCACTGCTTAATGCATCGTGTTTAACTAATCTTGTTTTGGTTTTGGCTAAAAAAGACTCCACACAGCTGTGCCTAATTACAGTTGCTAAGCTATGATTGATTGGACACCTGCTGTTTGGGGTGTGGGGGTTTTAGCAAACAATCAGTTGGGGGCACAGAGAGCCCTTCCACTCCACTTCTGCTCCATGGGACCGTCTTTCGGAAAATATATGTAAGGTAGTCAATGGCGAGAGACAATTTTTTTGTTTGTAACATTTAGCTTTTGTGTGAAACCGCTCAGTGAATTACATTTCTCGTGTCACACAATATACATCACCACCATGTTGGCGCTGTAATGCTCAGCTAACGTTGACTGCTTGCTTGCAACTAGCTAGGTAACTTAGCTATGTCCGAATGTGCGGATTTTTCAGTTTGAGCCAAAACAAAATGACAGGTGTGAAACCCCACCCGGACCACAGTCTGGACCAAACAGACGAAATTTGGTCCAACGAAAAGAGGTAGTTTCGGTCCAGATCAAACTGAACCATGGTGTGGTTTGTTTATAGTGTGAATGGATTGGTAGGACTTTCAAACCATTTACAGGAAGCTGGGTGGTCCCGTGTAAACCGGAAACAAACAAATGCTTTGAGAAATTAATTGGAAGCGAAAATTATAAATCCTTACGTTAAGATGGTGCTGCAGGTTGTAATGCCATAATAATAACCATATATTGTTGTTATGGCCAAAGAGTTTCGTCAAAGCTCCCCGCTGACCTGACAATAAGCTGAGGTCAGACACACGTCCATTTACAGGTAAATTCCTTACGTAAAGGATGGTCCAGTGTACCCTATGCCAAAGGAGATAGTAATGAAGGAAGCACTGAAGCACCTTTCCTTAGCGTTTAGAGAATTCAATCAGCTCTTATCATGGCTGCCACTTAAATACTTTCGTCATTAAATACTTAAATACTTACTGTCATTTCACTCAGCTAGGAACCTTCCTGAGCAAAAAAGACTTTTCGACCGCAGCCACAGTCAGTCTTATACAAACTGAGACTGTCTTGACTAGAATTATCTTTTAAATTGACAAACATTTTGTGTGTAATCAGGGGGATCAAAGGAATAAGTTGTCCTCGCCGTGCATACTGTTTCCGAATAAGGTCCCATGGTGGTGACTCATTAAGCTCTCTAAAAAATTTACTGAATATAGAAAATATGAACCATCAGCAGCCTCCATTTAAAAACTGTATAGGTCTCATGTTTCAAACGCTCATATCAGTCAAACCCTAATAATATAATCTGAATTCCCTTCATATCATTTCTCTGATATATTAGCTCTGTGACACCTCTATTGCACTTCTAAATACGACTGTGAAAAACTGCATCCTCTTGTTGCCATGACTGATGATGATGATATATCAATACAAGTGGTTCTTGCTTGTTGTCGCATGATGCAAACTGTTGATATACTTCTTTATATCTCTATACTCCCCACTGCCTGTTTTCTAATTCCAGTAAGTGAGGCATGATGACACATTCAGGTACGGCTCCTGTTATAAATCCTTCTGTTTACGCTGTTATTGGTCATCTTTAATGCACGACTGAATGTATGAATGTGGCTTTCTATACGATGTATATCGTTGTTTACACTGATCTTGTGCTTTACAGTTGTTCTTACATTTCTATCAGGTGTTTTATGTACGATGCAACAACAATAAATTTGGAATGCAACACAAGACAGATCAGGGAGTTTGGGTTTGTTCTCGCCACTCTGATGCTGCTCAGGTGTGTGGTTCACTACTGCCACCCACAGCCAGAAGAGAGTACTACAACAGCAGCTTCACAAACACAGTGACTGTTGAACAAATATACTCTTTGATATATGTAGGAAATTTTAGGCTTTACCTTTAGCCTTGATTTCCAATTTCCCTTTTTTGCCATTACACACAGGCAGGAGTGTTTTATGCAGACACAATATATTTTCCAGTCATTATTGTAGTTGAGGTTTGTTACAGTAGTAAATAGTTGTACAAATACATGAACAAACCAGTTGGCTTCCAATTCTATTGTTTCCAGTTGGAGCATGTATTCTGGTCTGGTGGTCTGGTAAGAACTGTGTGCGCTCCCCCTACCTGTACCTACCACTTCCTGTCACCAGTGCCTCTTATATAGAACCTTGTGCGTATAATGACTGCCACCCAGTGTCCAAAATACTATTGCAAAATATATCTAAACAAAATAATACATCATGTCAACAATAAACGGCTGTAATATCTGGCTGAATTTTCAATTACAAACAGACTTTAAATATCACATGGTTTAAACTGTATCCGTGTATTTCAGTGGTTGGAAGGAAACTAAGTACATTTACTCTAAGTACTGTTCTTCAGCACAAATTTGAGGTAATTGTACTTTTTACCAAGTGTTTTCTTTTCACGCCAGCGTCTACTTATACTCAATGGTGGACAAAGTACACAAATCCTTGAGTAAAGGTACAGAAACCCTTGCTAAATATTACTTCACTCAATTAAATTAATTTCTACTTAAGTGAAAGTACAAAAGTACCTGCTTTTAAAAATACGGTGTAAAAAGTACTATTACTATGGTTGTCAGGTGTTGCTGATTTTACAACGATCATCAAAATAGTTGCCAATAAAATTCCTGACAATCAACTAATCATTTTAGATATACCTGTAGTTTAATTTATAACAAAACATAATATTTATATACAATGTTTTTTTGAGTAAAAACCTTAATGTGTAAAGCAACTAGTATCTGAAGCTGTAAGATAAATGTAGTGAAGTAAAAAGTACAATAATTCCCTCTGAGCTGTGGTGGAGTCGAAGTAGAAAGTACTTAAGTACAAATAAGTATTTGTGCTTTACTTAAGTACAGTTTTTGAGTAAATGTACTTAGTTACCCAACGTTCAGTATACTCAACAACTAAAGTAGTAAAATCCTGCTTTACATTAATACATGAGGAATAATAATCTGATGAGAGAATATATAACAGTACGTTAAGCATGTGTGCATTAAAATGCATGAGGTAAAAAGAACAACAAATAAATGCTAATGTAATATTATTGACAGGCCTGAGGAGCCTCTGAGGACAACAGGGGGTTAAAAGTTCAGGTACATACTTACTGCCAGTCCCTTACGATATCTGATCATTTCAGGCTGCTAGTTATAAAAAGAAAATCTGAGAATCTTTAAAATGTAAATACAGAATTCATAAGAGGAAACAGGTGCGTTTGTCCTGCTTCAAAACACAGGCTGTACCCCCTAAAAGCAAAAAGGGAAAGTTTATTACGTGTGCAATAATCCTAATTAAATATAAAGGCTAAAATATAAACTGTAAGCTGTCAGAATTCTGTATGACAAGCACTGATTAATGGAATGATATGATTTATTGATTCTTCAGTCAACGCCTCGTTCAGCTGAGAAGTTCACGCTGTCCGTCATCACACCGGCCTTTAAGGTCACTGAACACCTCCTGAAACAGGAAGTGAGCTAATCAATACAGAGCAAAAGTAAATCAATACTGTAACGTCCTGCCTGCAGAGCTGAGTTTGGGTCATCCTTCTGTTTGTTTTTAATGTCGGCACCTCGTTAAATCTCAGAACTATTACAAGTCTTCTCCCCCTCGAGGCCCTAAAACCAGGCTTAAGACCAGGGGCCACCACACTTTCTCAGCAGTAGGCACTAAACTATGGAATGAGCTACATCCACAGGTCAAAAAATTATGGAAGCCGTAAGCGGCCGTTCATTCAAACATTTTTTTTACTCCGTTTTCCCGTGATAATGGGATCATTTGTTTCGTGATTTCGAGAGGACAAAACCATAGACTAGTACAGGGGTCAGTGTTTTTTAGGATCATTTAAGTATTTTTTTAGTATCCCCTTCAACAAAGTCCTTATGAAGAGTCTGTTTCACACGCTCACAATGAAGCACGTGCCGGAGTAAGCGCTTCCTGGCCATTTATCCACATCCCTCAACCGATGGACGCCTATTTTCATTTTCCCAGCATCCCCATGCAGAGAAAACTCCTGCGCTTCTCAGTCTGGGGAATCCGGTCTCATAATTACACACCTCTGATACAGGAAATGTGAGAGGTTGAGGGATGTGGGCAATACTTTCTTGTAAGCATGTGATATATAATTAATTTGCTAAAGAGGATAAAAAAAATAAGAAGACATTCACTGAATTTGTGGATTGAACATACTAACTGAGAGGCCTGTGTTCTGTAACTGAGCTAACCAAGAACAGTTTTATATATATATATATATGTGTGTGTATATATATATATAAAAATACATAAAGTGCCACTGGCCCGGAAAAATATTTACAAGAAATCTTTCATAATCACTCTGAACAACAAAAAATAGACATTGTACAGTTGCTGGTTGACAATCATTTTATACCTTTCTCATATGATAACGGAGTAAAAAATTGATGTTTGAATGAATGGCATCTTCTGGCTTCCGTAGGAAACTGCCCCCACCCTCGAAGCTTTTAAAACTGGCCTGAAAACTACAGGCGTACCTCTCCAACAGGTCTTTGTTCACGCCCACACACACTCTCATCAGGTGAAACAAGTGGAAACACCTGCGTGGACTTTGAGGAAACGTGCTCTGACAGGAAGAAGACGAGAAAAGTTCTTTTAAAACAAAACATGTGACTTTGTTATCAGTGTTGGACACAAGCAGAGGTAAGACTCTAAACTTGTCTCTGCTCTACAAGACAGCTCGTGAGTTTGTGAAGCAGTATTTAATGTTAACTCCAGCTAAATTAAACCATGACTGGTGTCAGAAAAGACGTGAAAGTATTTAAAGTAAGGGCGTCGCTTTGTGTAGAAAAGTGGTGGGGACATAAGGGCTCAGATTAGAGGTGCGAGGATACACTCGGGTCACGAGATGTGACGATGCACGAGAATAAGAAGAGAAGATTTTTACTACTATGAAGAAATAGGAAATGTGAGCGGGGGCTGTGAGGGTCCTCCCCCAGAAATTTTGAGCAATAAACACTTAATTTCTTGCATTCTGGAGACATTTTCTGGCCCAGTTTACAGTGGAAATGTCTTTATTTATATAAAAAGAAACAGAAAATTCATAAATATAAAAATAATACAATACAGTAATCAGCTGCTTGTTTTTTTTTAGCTTATGATACTCTTTATGCACATGTTTTTTTCTATACTTAAAATGCATTGCATATTTTCTTGTGCAAATGAACCTTTCTCAAAGCATTTTCATTTGTTAGTTTACATTTTTAATACTTTCAAAAAGTGATGGGGACAAAATCAATTTCAAAATGTGGTAGGGACCCAGTGTAAATGACACCTATGATTTAAAGAGTGGCTTCAGTATTTTTCAACGTGGTCTCTGTTTCCACACATTGTTGGTGTTGAAATGACTCGTAGAGAAAGTTTTGAATCAGTGCAGTAGATGCTCAGACTGTTACACCAGGGGCCTGTACCACGAAGCAGGATTTGAGCTTATCCAGGTAACTTCGCTTCTTAGCGGGGTAGATCTCCATGGTAACTTCTGCTGACCTTCTGCATATCCTGCTCCGGAGCAGGATATGTTCCAGATCAGAGATCAACTCTATGAAAACGCTGCCTACGGAACAATCGGCTCTCTTGGAAAATGACATCGCCATCTGTAGGAATCCCACAGACTCGTTTATAGGCTGCTTTATGTTTGCTGCGGTGATACACAAGCGGGAAGCTTCCGGTCTACAATATGAAGCCGATGCGTAAGTCCCTGAAACCTGCATTCTATTGAAAATCCAGCAGGGGGCGACTCTTCTGGTTGCAAAAAGAAGTCCGGCTCCATTAGAAATAATGGGAAAATGTTTCTACTTGTCAGCTGATTTATTCCCTCAGTAAACACTTTCCTGATGAGTTTCTGGTCTCAGTCGCTAGTTTCAAGTCTTCTTCAACACAGCGTGATGTTCATTTAGTAAATTATGGTCCCATTTAGAGGAACAGAGACCAGGAAGCAGAGTATGTTTCAGGGCGGGATTATCTATGATTGACAAGTCGTTGCGATGTGAGCGCAGGTAAAGAAGCGAGATTCCAGCAGCCTAAATGTTGAGATTCAGTCTTTCAGCCACTATCTGAGCCCATGTTGTGGCATGAGTGGATTTTTCGTTTAGTTAATTTAGAATAATGTTAGGAACACTGGGGCGGCGCGGTGGTGCAGTGGTTAGCACTGTCGCCTCACAGCAAGAAGGTTGTGGGTTTAAACTAGGGCTGGGCGATGTGGCCAAAAATGTTCACGATAAATCACGATAAAAACACTTCATATCATTTGAAATCGATAAATGTGAATTTGTTTAAAGGGTGATTTTTGTTCCTGACTGATAACTGAAGAAACCAGATGGTTCATTATGTGGTTCAACTTTCTTTATGGTCAAAATGGGACAAACAGAGGATCACTTAACAAATCTGAGGGAGAACATTCAAAACTCTTATGATAAAAAAAACAAAAATAAGATTAGTAAATCTTTTTTCAGTCCTTTTTCCTCAACAATATAATATTTTAATAGAAAAATTAAGTGCTAATTTGTTCATGATTCAAATGAATTAAATCAAATATTTATCGACGATATATTGAACATTTATTATATTGATATTGAGGAAAATTAAGATTCTGATAATTATCATTATTGTTTTATTGCCCAGCCCTAGTTCAAACCCCGGTTGCCCCGGACTTTCTGTGTGGAGTTTTCATGTTCTCAACATGTCCGCGTGGGTTCTGTCCGGGTGCTCCGGCTTCCTCCCACCATCCAAAGACATGCCGACTAATTGGTTAATTGGTGTCTCTAAAAGTGTCCTTACTGGTTGTTTTTTTGTCAATGTGTGGCCCATCGATGGACTGGCGACCTGTCCAGGGTGTACCCCGCCTTTCGCCCTATGTCAGCTGGGATTGGCTGCAGCCCCCCCCCCCCCCCCCGACTACTTACAGTCCAAACCTCGATGTTTAAACAAACATTACAATTACGATCATTGAGAGGAAAAGCAGCAAATCTTCGTGAGAGAAGGTGAAACAGGAAAAGTGACTTTAAACATTAACTTTCTGTCAACTGACTAATTGATTCATCTAATTGTTTCAGCTGAACTTGTATAAACTGATGGGGAGTTTAATTTAAAACCTTCAGAGGTTCTGTGTAAAAATCTTAATTAGTTGGCATAATGGATTATCTATCTATCTATATAGATAATCTGACATGTTTTCTTGATAAAGATCACATCTTTTGTAGAATATGGGAGCCTTTTCAGTCACTTTGGGCTGAACGTTGCAGCCATATTTACAAGAGGAGTGGGTGGGGCGTGTGATTACCGGCCACTTATTTATCTCTGTGTCAATGTGTAATTCGGTGGTCATCTGTATGTTTCTGTGTCTATGAGGCGAGAGGTGGTGGTTGTGTGTTATTTTGATGTGTGTGTGTGTTGTTAGAAATCAAAAATGTGTAAATGTGCTTGGTTGCGTTCCACCGCTGTAGATTTTGTGATTTTTCTTTTTTATAAACAGAAATCCATCAACTTTTTTTCACTTTGTCTGACTGAACATTTATTTTGCCAAAAAAGAAAAAAAAAAGTCGTCTGACATCAATACAAAATACTGCTACTCACAGAAAAGGCTCGACGGACACGTTCACACCCATCGTTTCCCATCATGCTTCACAAGCAGCTGTCTCTAAAAAGGTGTGAACATTTCCAGATGTGAGATCAGACAAAAATCAGACCTCCTAACAACACAGATAAAAATCTACTTTAAAATAAATAATATTCTTCTGTTTTCAGTATTGCAGCGGCCGCTCTGCTCCGACGTCGTCACCAGATTATTAAAAACACTTCAGGATGTCCGTGCTGGAGTTCTCATCTGGAAACAGGCCTGACAAAAACAGATGTTTGCTGCTCCACAAACCTCCACGTCTGTTGCTGATCCACGTCCGACCGCGAAGCAGCAGGTCCAGGTTTCTCTTTAAAAACATGCTGAAGTTTAAAACTCTTGTGTTTTATATCAAACCGCCACAGAAAGTCTGAGTAAAAACAAAACCCCCGCCTCTGTGTGACTTACAGCTTTATCAGGAACATGAGTCTGAGTGGAGGTTCAACTTTGACTTCGGACACAGCATTTAACAAAATAAACCGTATCACATGGTGACAAGCGCCAGCTGTTTTCCCTCATTACACGCCAAGTGTAAAGTTGAATTCCTCCCCGTTTACAAAGACTCGTCCAGCTACGACACAGAAATGTGGACTGAAGCGTCTCCTCGCTGTCGTGTGTCTCTTTCTGTGTTCAGTCCTCTGAGTCTCACTCTGAGAGGCTCCTTAAAAATAAATACATAAATAAATACGAAGGCCTGGATGATGTGTAGCTGCCTGCAAACCACATCCTGTCCCGTTCAGACGAACACAAAGTGCATTAAAGTCGCTCAGCAGGAACGTAAATTAGTTTCCTCCAGTCCTCGTCGCTCATTGGCTGCCTGCATGTGGTTCGACAGCTGATCTGATCTGCAGAAGCAACATGCGGCTGCATCACCGCCAAACATGGCGTGTTATCACAAGATCTTCACGCTCCGTCACAAGGTGTTAAAAGTGTGTTAAGTTCAAGAGTTTCCCGTTTTATCACCACAGTGTTTGTTGGAGGAACTAAGTCTCTCCAACAGTCACAGAAATGTGCATGTTGTTATAAGGGGAAGTTAAAATATTCGAGTCAGCTGTAACGTGGCTAGATGAGCGTCACAGTTACTGAAAGGCTGCGTGTTGTGTTCACTGTCAGAGAAGAGAAATAAGAAGTTCCTGTTTTGTGCTACGTTCCTACGGCGTCCTCACGCTTCCTTCACAGCAGAGTCGTGTGAAACGTTGACCACAGATCAACGTTGCCAGCAGAAACGCTGAACCAGCCACATAACTGTAAGTTGGAGAACTGCGATACGTCTCCGACTCCGGCGGTGGCAAGTTGAAAAGTGCGGCTACGGCAATTTTCAAGTGCTGTTCTTTCTTTCCCCCGTCAGACGCGCACGTAGGCGGCGGTGGAGAGAAAACTGATGGGAGAATCGCCGACCCTACTTCAGATTTTTAAAGTCGAAATCGTGACACTCCTGGTGAAAACCCTTAGATTTAACACACGTGAGAAACGATATATTTATACATGTATGTATCTATCGACCACTGGCGCTCACATCCATTCATTAAAATAAGCACCGCTGCTGATGTCTTGAGGACTCTGCAGCCTCACTCTCTCCTGAACTGACCAATCAGGCGTTGGCCACAAAGCACATGTCCTTCTTCAGGTGTATCTGCAGGCCGCTGGCGCTGGTGAACGTCTTGGCGCACTGAACGCAGCGGTACGGCTTCTCTCCGGAATGCGTGCGCTTGTGCTTCTTCATGGTGTCGCCGTCGCTGAAGGTGCGGCAGCAGTACGGGCAGCTGTACGGCCGCTCCCCCGTGTGGATGCGCAGGTGGCGCCGCAGGTTTCCTCTCTGGCTGAAGCTCTTGGAGCAGAAGGTGCAGCGGTGCGGCCTCTCGCCCGTGTGCGTTCGCAGGTGGCGCCGCAGGTCCGCCGACTGCGCGAAGGACTTGCAGCACCACTCGCAGGCGTAGGTCTTTCTTTTCTGCTCCAGGTGGAGGCGGAGGCTGCTGGCCTGGCCGAACGCCTCGCCGCAGCGGGGGCAGCGATGGACGAGCTCGGGGATGTAACCGCCCGCCGCTCCATCAGCCGTAGCCGGCAGCTTCTCCTGAGAGGACTTCCTGTTTCCTTCGTGTAGCTCTGCACGCGCCGTCCTGTCTGCGTCTGTTCTGTTCCTGAAACCCGACTCTTCCTGCGCGTGTGCGGTCGGAGAGTCCGTGTGACCTTCAGGTTCTGTCACTTTATATTCCTCGGGTTCAGTTTTGATCCGAGCAGGAGCCGGGGCCCGGGGCTCCTCTCTGAGTGCCGGAACCTCAACTTGGATTTTGGGGGCGGAGGCGGGACTCAGGGAGGAGTGAGACGGAAGAGTCGACGTCTCCGTCTGAAGGTTGGGCTTTAGCACCGGCTCCCAGGCTTCAGCGGGCTTCGGGTCCCCTGACAGGAGAATGGGCCCCGGGGACGTCTCGCTCTGGACCGACAGTAACTGCACAGAAACAACCTGCTCGTGTGTCGGCTTGGCTGCGTTGGCTGGTGGCTGTCTGGGCTGGTTCAGGGTGGAGTCCGGCTCCTCGGAGCGGGGCCTCAGCTCTGGATCGTGTGGCTGCTGCTCAGGAGTCACAAAACCGAGACGGGACCTGGTCGACCCTGAAACAAGAGCGAGAAACGGTCGATACAGCAACACTGAAAAACATCAGACACAAACACAAAACACATCGAATATGGAAAAGGTAAAATGTTTAAAATGTTTGAGCAGTTTGGTTCTACTCAAATGATCCTTTGATTTTACTGAAATGTTCTATCGATCGTTCGATCTTTAAAATGTTAAAGATTGATAAACTGTCCAGTGTTTCCCACAGAATGAGTAAAAAAAATAAAATAAAATCGAATATCAATCTGTGGCGGTCAGCGTTGATACTGTGGCGTATGGGAAACACTGCTGTCCGTTACATTGTCCTAAAGCACAAGGTAATGTCCTCAAATGTCGCGTTGTCTCCGACCAGCAATCCAAAATCCAAAATATTCACTTTCCTGTCATAAAAGATTAAGAAACGTTCACGAGTCCTTTATTGGTATTTTTAGCTTTAAAACGTTACTCAATATTTGATTATAAAAACTGTTGATTCACTTTCTGTCCTTCAACTGGTGAACTAATCTTTTCAGCTCTACCCCTTTTTATATTTACATTATGAACTGTGTATTTAAGCTTGGGCCAGCATACTTTGAACCTGCAAACTGAAAGTAAACCACCTCAGTATGGAGGACAACATGTGTTTATTTGTTTTGCCCATTTGTACAGCCATGAATAGTAAATTAAATGTGTACGAAATTCCCCTTTAATAGAAAGAGCATGGCTGGAAGTCAGTTATGACTGTGAACAAAGGTTTAATAAAGCCAGTCAGTTCGCCAGAAGCCCTAAAACTAAAGTTCTCCTGCGTGGAGGGAACGTCACGCCAGACTCCATTCAATTTTGTCGCGATTATGTGTAATGTTGTTTTGCGTTAAAACAAAGCGCAAAGAGTGAGTTGCTTTTTCTGTAACAATGCTTTTAAAAGGTTAATTCGGTATGCTGCTAGATGGTCCAAAAAGCAGTGCTTCTCGTTTCCAGTAGTTAATTATGTTCTGGGAATCTGCTGATGCTCGGTGGAAAAAGGAAGTAACGTTAACCGGTAAAAGGCTATGAAAAGTCCCATTTGTCATAACATTTCGATTTAGTGGGTTTATTATACAAGTGCCGAATTTAAAACGGACCCCTTAACTACACATAACAACTTTAATATTCGTGTTTTAGTCGTTTTTTGACATTAACTCGCTTTTGAGAGATTAACTAGACATATTTGTCAGCGCGGTTTGGAACGCAGTTCTCTCCCAGCTGTCCTCGGAGCTAGGTGCCTAGCTCGGCCCTTACTCAGCCACTCCGTCTCGGCCTCCAGCAGCAGGATGTCCCGCAGCTGCCTCCGCAGACTCTCGTTCTCCCGCTTGGTCCTGGCGGTCTCCTCCCGGTACTCCGTCACCGTGTCCTCCACCACGTCCAGGATCTCCTTCACCACCGCCGTCAGCCGCTCCGTCAGGTAGGCGTTCAGTAGCTGCAGTTTGGTCATTTTGGAACCACAGACAGCTGCGGCTGCATCCACACCGGAAACAGAACGCGACAACAACAAACGAAACAGGAAACGCCTTTTCTCTCGATTCCTTCACAATAAAAGCATTTGTTGTTTTGTTTTTTTTACAGTTAACCCTCTCATGCATCAATTATTAAAAACATTATAAAGATTCTTTTTACTACTCAAAATTGTGGACACCATGCAACACATGAGTTAAATGCAACACCTGTCAATATGGATTATTATGTTTTATATTATTATTTTATATGGTATGTATTTAAACTCAATAGTTGATAATTAACAATAAAACACACATTTTAGGAACAAATGGAGAAATAACACTCACAGTGGTATTGATAACTGTAGTTACATGTATGTGGACACCCAGTAGCATATTGTTTTCCTTTAACTTCAATTTGAATCTCAGTTTTTCATATCAACATCCAACATAACAGATTACATAGTTGTAGTTAAAACTGATTTCTTTGCAGTATGTGAGAACAAAACAGGTTGCAAAACTGTCAAAAGTTGCAATTTAATGCTGTAATATGCACGTTTGCATTGTTATTAATATGCATATACTGTATTTGTTAATGTCTTCTTTATTATAATACAATTCATCACATCTTTGAAAAATTTGAATAGATAAACTAGCTGGTTACAGAAATCAAACTTTATTCAATCTGACTCCACTGTTGCAAGACGTCCACATACGAAGACAGTTGGTGTTTTTATGTATAAAAACTACATTTTACTCTAAATTTTAATTTATAAAACTTAAACCTGTTAATTCTTTACTGTACATAGTACTTTTTCTTTCTTTTTTTTTTATCTTGACTGACCTTGAATAAAAGTTTTTCACAGATATGCCTGAGGCATTTAGCACATGGCCAGCAACAGGTCATCAAGCAATAAATATTTCAAAAACAACAGAGTAACCACTGTTAGTGTTGCTATCAATCAGCTGACACTGTACTCAAATGACTTGGAGAACATAATAACCATGTAACCAAAATGTGTGAGAGACCCAGGTTCAAATCCACTGTGAGACACCATTGTGTCCCTGAGCAAGACACTTAACCCCTCGTTGTTCCAGAGGCGTGCGACCTCTGACAGCAGTTGTAAGTCACTTTGGATAAAAGCATCAGCTAAATGTATAAATGTAACCAAAAACCAGTAACAAAAATGGAGAAATAATAACAAATATGAAAGTATAATAACAAAATAACATAATATAATAACAAAAATGGAGTAAAATAACTGTCCACAAATGTAGACACCATGCATAAAAGGGTTAAAATATGGATTTGAGTCGTTTGGGTAAGACGCCCCACCTAAGCTCAGTGTCCACACATAAAAGAACATTTTATTTGGTTTGTACCTTGAAGGCTGTGATTATGGTAAGGTGTTATAAAGTAAAATAAATAAATAATAATAAATAAAAATAAATAACTACAGTTGACAAAATAATTTGTAATGAATCAAATGTATTTTTTATGGAAAAGGCATTTTCCACTGGGGTAAGGTGCCCCTCCATGGGGTAAAATCACTTTAATAGGTACAAATTACAGATAAAATAAACTTCAAGCAGGTGATTACATGATAACCATGTTTTAGAAATAATCTTAAATAAAATAAATTAGAAATAAAAGCCTTATGGTTTTAGCTTTCCTATCATTTATTTTGTTAGACTTTAAATTAATGAGGTTTCTGGGAACTTCATTAGCAGAAAGTCTGAGGGAAAATAAGCGCTAGTGCTACATGAGCATAACCTCAGAATTTTACCTCAGACTTTCTGATTGTGAAGGGGCTGTCCAGTGTCTAAAAAACACCTAACTTACAAATGATGACCCCGGGGGGGCATCTCACCCCATTGGAGGAGGGGAACACACTAACATCTTAATACATTAACCAAAAACTAAATAATTGCATAATTTATCTGAAGGCTTCCTTTTTTATATTCTCTCATATGCTGGGCAACGATTAAAAATTTTAATTACATGATTTTCTTGCGATTAATCGCATGTTTGTTATGAATTCTAAAGTAGTGTATTGCACAATTTTGATTTAAATTAAACTGCTATATACAAAAGTGCAGTAACATGGTGGTTACCAAACACTTTAAACAAATAAGGGGCTTTTTACCAGCAGTATTCTCTTTACACAGCAGCAATAAAATATTTCTTGTAAATCTCAACTTAAACATTAATGTAATCAAATCAGATATTGAACCAAAGCTATTTGCCACTGCCAGGGCGTTACCTTTTATCTAGCTTGTTTAAACAAGTTACCATCAGAGTCCAGTTTTCTTGGGGTTTTTCAGCAGAGAAAATAAGTATGACTGCGCCCAGCTGATGTGGTCACTCTCGCGCAGAGAGTCCCCCGCCTCACACCCGTGTCAAAGGTGAAAGCGAGCCTTACAACTTTGAGAGGATGAAGAGGGACAATCCTTCTGGGCACAAGAAGAGGAAAAGCTGAATGACAGCAGCACAGCAGTCAGGTAAACTTGTGTTCTGTCCTCTCCAAGTCTGATGTCAGCAGATTACAGTCATGTAAATGTGCAGCCGCAGTGAATCTGTGGATGCACATCTGTCAGTAAATAATAAACGTCAGTCAAGTCATTGTATACATAGTATTTTATATTTGAAAATGTATTGAAGGACATCTGGGGGAGCCAGTTTGAAAGGGCCTGGTGGAGCTGATAACAGTCTTATCTTGCAGGAAGGGGCCGCCTGGCACAATAACTCAGGCCGGGAATTTCCCAGACAGACTGCACAGACCTGGTCCAGACGTCGGTCATGTCACACAGACCCAGGTCAAACACAGGCAGCCTCAGCCAGCATCAGATACAAGCAGCTCAGACCTTAATGGAACAACTGCTGCTCCACCAAATGACCCAGCAGATTGGCCCCCAGTCTTTTCAGACTTCATGGGGACTGAGTTCAAACTCTGTTCAAACTGGCACTGGGTTTTTCTAGTAGAGGTTTCTATTCAGGCTTCTTACAGAGGGATTGTAGTGAGAGCGTAGTGGTGTCTGGCGTGACTGTGCAGCAATGGCAAATTGTTTACATGGCTCACGAGTCTAAAACATTTCATCACATAAGCAGAGCGATAACGCAGGCTGATCCCTGAACAACCCTCTTTTTCCTCTTGCAACTCAGTTTTCTTTATTGTGATTCACTGTAACTTCTGATGCTGTATTCAAACCTGTCTTCAGTGAATTTAAAAAGTTAGATTGCTCTTTGTAAAATCAACATATATGAATGTGTACTTTTTACTTTCGATACTTGAGTGCTTTTAAAATCAGGTACGTTTTTACTTTTACTTGAATAATATTTTACTTTTGATGACTTTTACTAAAGTAACATTTTAGTGTGGTATCTGTACTTTTACTTAAGTATGATAATTGAATACTTTATACAACACTATGTGTGTGTAAATTTAATACAACTAGATTTTATCTGCAGCTTCCTTTTAAATGACTAAAAAATTATATCAACTTACATCAGAATCACTTTGATCAAATAACTTCAAAAATTTTGATGTTTTAAGTGTAAAAAATCCTTTAGAAATGCATCTCCTCCTTCTAGCTCACTAAAAGTTCAGACCCCTGTCACCTGAATTTTGTGTTTCCCTTCATATAAATAAAGACATTTCCACCATAAATTGGTGCAGAAAATGTCTCCAGAATTCAGGAAATTAAGAGTTTAATGCTTAAAGTCTTCTGGGGGACAAACACCCAGACACCCCCACTCATATCTTTCAGCATCAAATATTTCTTCAAAGTAGTGTTAAAATATCTCCTCATTTTGTTCTCGAGACCAAAGTCTGTCATCGCACCCCTAATCTCTGACCTTTTGTCCTCACCACTTTTCAACACAAAGTGATGCCCTTGACTTTTTTTTTTTTAAATAGGTACACAAAGAAGAATATTCAGACATATCTGTTCATTATCAGCCAAAGACGAATTATATGCCTTTGAAAGGTTTTCTTTCTTAAACCAGTGCAGATTAAAGTGTAGCTGAGGATCAAGTTTCTATAACTTCTCCCAGTAGACGGTATAAAGGAAGATGACGTAGCCGCCGTGACATCACCGTTGGTTTGTGGACTGCTGTTTTGAAGCACCTAGTTTGGCATTTTTAACCGTCGCCATCTTGGTTTTTTTGGAACCAAACATGACCGTATTTGGACGAGAGGGCGGAGCTTGCTAGCATGGTTAGCAAGGTGCATCTGTAATTCACGTTAACTGTGATATTGGCCTTGATGCTAATTTTAACTAGCGACAAACAGGCTTAAAACAAAACGTACTTACCGGAAAAAATGATCAGCCGACTCCTGATAAGCTTTTTCAGTGGCGCTGGTTAAATTTACACAGGGCAGCGGATACGCCTCTATCCTGATTGACAGGTCGCCATGGTAGAGACTTGTCAGTCAGCTTGTAGCCCCGCCCTAAAGCCTCCCCTGCTTCCTGGTCTCTGTTCCTCTAAACGGGACCATAATTTACTAAATGAACATCACGCTGTGTTGAAGAAGACTTGAAACTAGAGACTGAGACCAGAAACTCATCAGGAAAGTGTTTACTGAGGGAATAAATCAGCTGACAAGTAGAAACATTTTCTCACAGACTTCTATACAATCACACTTCTTTCTGCAGCCGCTGGAGTCGCCCCCTGCTGGCTGCTGGAGAGGACGCAGGTTTAAGTCGCCCCTGCTGGCTGCTGGAGAGGACGCAGGTTTAAGTCGCCCCCTGCTGGCCGCTGGAGAGGACGCAGGTTTAAGTCGCCCCCTGCTGGCCGCTGGAGAGGACGCAGGTTTAAGTCGCCCCCTGCTGGCCGCTGGAGAGGACGCAGGTTTAAGTCGCCCCCTGCTGGCTGCTGGAGAGGACGCAGGTTTAAGTCGCCCCCTGCTGGCTGCTGGAGAGGACGCAGGTTTAAGGCGCCCCCTGCTGGCTGCTGGAGAGGACGCAGGTTTAAGTCGCCCCCTGCTGGCCGCTAGAGAGGACGCAGGTTTAAAGCCTCCCTCCAGTGTATTTTGAGTCATTTCCTTACAATGTTGATTACCCATATAGTTTGCCAAATATTTTTTGACAAATAGCCTAATTTTGTGCTCAAAGTTGCAAAAATTGCTAACTTGTTAAAACGGGGTTGTGATGTATGACTGTAGTAATTCCATAAGTCATACGTTATTTTCCAAGTTAGCTAACAGAGGGTCTTCATTTTATTGGCTGTTCATTTTCATTATGGCATCTGTGCATGTGGTGTGGAGGACAGATGCTATACACCTGCCACCGTCTTATACACAGTCTGCAACATGCATTTTGCAGCGTGTGACAGGATCATCGACTGTATGATTGATAACAGCTGATACGCGCGCATTAGTTTCTATCATGGGTAAGTAACGGCTACTCCTGCCAGACAGTAAAGTGGACTAAACTTTACAGTGTAGTGATGTTAACACAGCATATCATTAGTGAACGCTCCAGCCGGTCAGTTTTTGGTTGTCATGGTAACCACCATTAACCACACCTCCATTCTCTGTTTGAGAAAGAACGTTCACCAAAAACAGCAGTTGAAACTGGCTGGAGGGGCTTTAATGCTCTCCAGCTTCACTTTTCAGACCTGGAGGTTCCTGCTTGTTCTAAACACATTGAAAATAAATCAAAATTATCACCCGAATACTTCCATTAAAGATGTTCAAAATTAAAGCTTAAAAGCAGGCATGATAGCATACCAACACTTTCAAAAATAAATCAAACGTTTATGATTTTCCATGATGAGATCTGATGATTGATGATTCACTTCTGATTGCTTCAGTTTTTAACATATTTAGACATTTACATCTCTAGGTTAGACTGGTCTCTATTATTAATTAATTAATTAATTATTATCAGTACTTCTGATTAAAGCTGCAACAATTAGTTGATTAATTGATTAGTTGTCAACTATTTTTATAATTGATTAATCGTTATTTATCTAAGAAAAACTGTCCAATTTCTCTGATTTCAGCTTCTTAAATGTGAATATTTTCTGGTTTCGTTGCTCCTCTCTGACAGTAAACTCAACATCTTTGGGTTGTGGACAAAAAAGGAAATTTGAGGATGTCCTCTTGGACTTAACTTAACAAGTTATAGAGATTTATATAACAAATTGTAGTGATATTTATTTACTCTGTTAGACAGTAACTGTATGGGGTGCAGTTCCTCACTGTGGCCACAGAAGGGCAGTGAACACTCATGACTCTTAATACACTCAGGTGAACCATCAGGACATGAGATGCACTCATGTTTACCGGCAAAACATTCATGATGTTGGTATTTATTTACAGGACTGTTTTATTTTATCAACACACTTCATGATGCTGGGCTTTTTAAAATGTATTATTATAATGTATTAAATATTATTATTATTAATACAGATATATTAAACATTGACACTGACTAAATATGCTTATTGGAACCTCTTTAAAATGTTAAATATATATATATATAAAATATTATTTATATATATATATATATATATATATATATATAAATAAATAAACTAATCTGTGTAAGTATCTGTATTACTCCCAGTGAGGAATGTGGAGTGGTGCATTGTTGGATTGTGCTCTCGTCAGCAGAAACGCAGCAGGACGGGGACAGAAAGGTGCCGTAAGTCTTCCACTGTTAACCAAGACAAAACAGGAAATGGGCTCATTTTCCACCAAAATAAGAGTATTGCTATACGGCCATTATATCTATGCACGCAGATGCATTTCTTATAGATTTTTTGTTACCCGGTCGTTATCATGGTTGGACTTTTATCAGTCAACTTAACAAAACAATCTTTTACCTCAAGGTCCATTTAGTTCTGGAGCTTTTGATCAAATCACTGAAAGCACTCAGAAAATAAATGGCATGGGACCTGGGCTCCACCTGCTGATAAAGATCCTGTGATCAAATCAAAAAGCCCAGAACCAGGGACTGAAACGGACCTGTGGGTGCGCTTGTTTTTGTGTGTTTCTGTTGTTGCCTGTTTGTCCAGGTAAAGTGTTTGGTTACTAGTTTGTTACAGAGGAGGTTTTAACGTTTTCATTTTTCTTAAGCACTTCATGGTCCCAGACTGTGTCTCTGAATTACTGCGTCCTCATAAACCTGCAGTCTCAGGTCTTTGTGCAGGACTCCAGATGTTGCTGTGACACTCATATTTAACTCACATGCTGTCTATTTCTTCTGATCATCCTTGAGATGGTTCTACACCTTCATTTGAGTCCAGCTGTGTTTGATTATACTGATTGGACTTGATTAGGAAAGCCACACACCTGTGTATATAAGACCTTACAGCTCACAGTGCATGTCAGAGCAAATGAGAATCATGAGGTCAAAGGAACTGCCTGAAGAGCTTTGAGACAGAATTGTGGCAAGGCACAGATCTGGCCAAGGTTACAAAAAAGGTTACAAAAAAATTTCTGCAGCACAGAGTGGCCCGACGGAAGCCTCTCCTCAGTGCAAGACACATGAAAGCCCGCATGGAGTTTGCCAAAAAACACCTGAAGGACTCCAAGATGGTGATAAATAAGATCCTCTGGTCTGATGAGACCAAGATAGAACTTTTTGGCCTTAATTCTAAGCGGTATGTGTGGAGAAAACCAGGCACTGCTCATCACCTGTCCAATACAGTCTCAACAGTGAAGCATGGTGGTGGCAGCATCATGCTGTGGGGGTGTTTTTCAGCTGCAGGGACAGGACGACTGGTTGCAATCGAGGGAAAGATGAATGCGGCCAAGTACAGGGATATCCTGGACGAAAACCTTTTCCAGAGTGCTCTGGACCTCAGACTGGGCCGAAGGTTTACCTTCCAACAAGACAATGACCCTAAGCGCACTGCTAAAATAACGAAGGAGTGGCTTCACAACAACTCCGTGGCTGTTCTTGAATGGCCCAGCCAGAGCCCTGACTTAAACCCAATTGAGCATCTCTGGAGAGACCTGAAAATGGCTGTCCACCAACGTTTACCATCCAACCTGACAGAACTGGAGGGGATCTGCAAGGAGGAATGGCAGAGGATACCCAAATCCAGATGTGAAAAACTTGTTGCATCTTTCCCAAAACGACTCATGGCTGTATTAGATCAAAAGGGTGCTTCTACTAAATACTGAGCAAAGGGTCTGAATACTTATGACCATGTGATATTTCAGTTTTTGGCTGCAATGAAACAAAGAGTGAAAAATTTAAAGGGGTCAGAATACTTTCCGTACCCACTGTATATGTGAGATGAGTGAAATAAAGACTAAAATGATAAATATCTCTATTTTGGTTCGAGCAGATTGACCAAAATGCTAATAAAAATTATGCTAATGAGTTAGAAAAGACTAAAATTATGCTTTAATGACTTGATTGTCTTTTGACTAAAATACCCAGACTTTTAGTCAACTAAAACTTTATTAAAAAATACTATACAGTGGACTAAATATGACAAAAACTAACACGGACATTTGACACGGGACTAAGACTAAATTTTAAAATGGCTGCCACAAAACAACCTGCCATTCCAGATCAGAACCGCCCGACTCTTTAACGCTTTAAATCACTGTTAAAACACATCTCTTTGCTTCCTATTTTCCTTCGACTTAATTACTTTTAACCTGTAAAGCAGCTCGGTGAACCTTGGTTGTTTTAAGTGTGGATTTAATTTGTTAAAATGCGTGTGCAGCTTTGGTTTGTGGGAGATTCTTCTAACACGTAGGTACTGTAGCAGAGAGCCTTCAGTGTTGCAGCCCCGTGAGGCTTCCTCCCTCCACATGTTTTAATGAAACTCCTCAAACGCCATCTGTTCACCACAGCAGGAGTGTTTCTGAAAACATTTATTGTCGTGTCGTGTGAAGTCTAATCTGTGTCCTTGGGTTTCATGAAAAGCGCTATATACATTTAAAGTAAAATAAAAAATATGTTATGTCCTTTTTTTTTCTGTTTCTCTTTTCATTTTGTCCTTATAGAGGCACTTTATAAACATCATTTATCATTAAATATTCACCTCATCAAATAAATATATGTGAACGTGCAGATTTGTGTGTGTTTGAACTCTTCGCACACTCAGATCTGCTCACCAGAAACCCAGAACCCCCCCCCCCCCCACCACCACCCTGCTAGGCTTTTATTTTGAAAGCTTAGACAGGCACTGCCTTAAACTTCAGTCAGCTTCACAGTGGTGGAGGATGGAGAGGAAAGAAGCTACTGTACTGCAAGAGCTTCCTCCTGCACACACACACACATTAACACACACATTCACTGTTAAAGCACCCCTCCCTTTCCTTTCAACTCTTGCAGTGAAGCAGATCGAGCTGCTGCAGCGACATCCCACCACTCTGCACCTCCAGGAACCAACACAGCAATACTAAATAACCAACAGCAGGGACCGGCTGAAGAACTATTTCACCATTGTTTTTAAGATCTGTTCCAGTCTGAATCCTGCATCTGATTTATCATTTTATATTTTTCAGTACTCGTGCTCCGTCTCTCATCAGTGGATTGTACCTCCTGCGTTCCCTGTAGAGACACGATGAACATCAGCCTGCAGCTCCCAGTAGACTAGGACCAGGTAAGAGCTCCGCCGCCGGACGCTGTGGTGAGAAAACCTTTTAATTTCACATGTTGGGTGTTTTTAAAGCATGTGCTGCTGCTGCTGCTACTACAGTAACCCGGTGGGTGTGTCGGCTTCCTTCAGCTCAGCCTGCATCTCACTTCCATCTGGATTTTTCCTTTTGTCTGCCTTTGATGCTGCACTGTGTGTGTGCGCATCTTTATGGATTAATTAAATATGGTTGGAGTCATGCTGCTGTCATGGCATCACATCCCAGCTTTCAAGCTCTGTCACACAAAATATCATTTATTATTCTGATGTTTTTCTGGAATAATTAATATTCCCGGATCATATTTGTTGTGTAACTGCTTCATTTTCTAGAAAACCCTGCGAGAAGCCGCTGAGTTAGAAATACTGCTCCTGCTGTTAACCTTCATGCCATGTCCTCCTTCCTCTGGGGGGGAACGAGGGAGCACATGAAATAATAATCAGAAAGAACGATGCAGCGGACGAAAACATAAATATTCAATTTGCAAAGATGTTCAGGAGAAAAGAAGCTTTAGCCAGCAAATAAACTGTATTTCTTCTTTTATAAAAGATTTAAATAGTGAAGGATTAATGTGGCTGATAAGTTTGACTCTATATTAAAATCCTCATCCTTAGAGAAAAATCAGGGGTTAAAATTGCGGAAATATTTTTGCGACGTTTGCTTGACTTGTTTTTAACATGAATAGATTTTCAGTGAGGAGATGAAATGTGGTGACAGAGTGTTTAGACTAAGGAAGTGTGTGTGAAGCTACAGCAACATGGCTGCCTCCAAAAACCTGCTCAGTAGTCAAAGTGTGTGTGATGAAGCTGAAGTGGCAGCAGGATGAAGGTCTTTACTTTAGGTAGGAAAACACACAGAGGTCGGATTTAAAATCTGCAGCTGCTCCTTTTTAAAACTTCAGGTTCAAACGACAAACCCTGAGACGATCCTTTTCAGACGACGTCCTCTTCGTCCTCCACCAGCACACAGCGATGGTGATGATGTTTAGAAAATATCTTTGTGATTAAAGTGATGGATCTGAGCTGCACCAACATGCTGCTGCATGACGACGGCCCACAACTGAACTATCCATCAGAGTTAGTCGTAAAACTCAACATGCGTTTTATTTTAAATCTAATGTGAAGCGACGATTTGGTGTTGATTCTGGCGGCCCCTGTGGACACGAGCGGTACTGTTTCCACGGCCTCGACTCGTCAAGATCTTGATCTTCGGAGGCGAGTGAAGTAAAGACGCAGCATGTTTTCAGTACTTTTATAAGACCGCTGTTTGCAGGATGCGTCACGATGAAGTAATTTAACCGTTTCAGGGTCTTTCCTGACTCAAAGTGAGACGGAGGTGGAACCATCGCGATAACACAACACTTTTTATAAGCGTCGTATTTTAAGACTTCTAATAAATATATGATTGAAGAAAATTACAATTACAATGTTAAAGCGTAATTTATTTTTAAATTATTTTAAAAACTAAATAAAGGTTCCCTGTTCGACGTTAAATACAACATAAAAGCAGCGTCCTCACCAGAAAAACCAACCCGTTCTCATCCCAGGGCTTCATATTCAAAATAAAACGCTAGCGTTTTGAAAACATCGCTATTTTGAAAGGGCACGTTATTAAAGTCGTGAAATGTTGCATTTTGGTTAAGTTTAGACAACAAAACTACTTGGTTAAGGTTAGGAAAAGATCATGGTTTGGGTTATAATAACTACGTACGTCAGCAGGAAGCTTCCGGCATTCTATTGAACGACCAGCAGGGGGCGACTCTTCTGGTTGCAAAAAGAAGTCCGGCTCCATTAGAAAGAAACTGTTTCTACTTCTCAGCTGATTTATTCCCTCAGTAAACACTTTCCTGATGAGTTTCTGGTCTCAGTCGCTAGTTTCAAGTCTTCTTCAACACAGCATGATGTTCATTTAGTAAATTATGGTCCCATTTAGAGGAACAGAGACCAGGAAGCAGGGGAGGCTTTAGGGCGGGGCTACAAGCTGATTGACAAGTCGCTACCATGGCGACCTGTCAATCAGGATAGAGGCGACTCGTATCAGCTGCTCTGTGTAAATTTAACCAGTGCCGCTGAAAAAGCTTATCAGGAGTCGGCTGTTCACTTTCTCTGGTGAGAACATTTAGTTTTAAGACAAAAATTTCGGCCCTCTTAAAATGACCGTTAACCACCGTCTCGTCCAAATATGGTTACTTCCGGGCACTTCCTAGTTGTAAAAAATCAACATGGCGGCGCCCTATTGGCCAAACTCGAGGCTTCAAAACGGCAGTCAACAAACCAACGGGTGACAACATCCTCTTATATACAGTCTATGGTTAACACAAGATAACTTACGTCACTTGCAGAACTTGTGAAGTTTACGTAACTGGCCTAACTTCAATAAAAATATTTAATGTTGACGGTCTTGTGGTTTAAATTCGGGGCTCTGGGAACGGGTTGAAATATGCAACGTCTGGTTAGACTTTCAAAATAAAACTAGCGGTTAACGCTATGAAACAGGTGGTTAACGTTGTACAAAAGTTGTAAAACATTATAAAATGTCACAACCCTGTCAAGGTTTGGGTTAAAAGAACTACGTTACTTATGTGACTTACTTAAGTTAAGTATCATCACTAAAAGGTATCAATATTGACTCCTCCGCTCCACCCTAACCACACCCTTACTCGGACGTTTATAGCAGTACTTTTAGCACTGAACAATGGCACTAAAGGGCTTCGCCCAGTGCGTAGATTTATGACACGGACCAACTATATCGGTTGTTTGTTTAAGCAGCTTATTACAAATTCACGCTTACTGCTAGGCTGCGACCTCTAGTGGGCGTATGACAGGAGCAAAGCAGGAAGTCAGGTGACGCAGTAATAAAGAAAGCCTGTGTAAGGCAGTGGTTCTCAAACTGGGGGGTGGGGCCCCCTGGGAGGACATGGTACCACTACGGGGGGGTGCGTGGATGTTGAGCCGACCTAAGGTTGCATGAATGTGATTCATGTGGTGACAAGCAAGGCTAATTTACTAACCTGCCCGTGTTAAAGGTTGTTAAATTGTTAAATCTAGTTTTGCTGGAGTCGGGGGGCTCAAACGTTTTTTCGTCTTCTAAAGTGGGGCGTGACAGGAAAAGTTTGAGAACCGCTGCCGGTCGGGGGACAGGGTAGATGGACGGATAAAATTAGCCTATTAAAGTTAAATAATATAACTGACTTACATCACGAGTGAAGTCGTGTACTTACTTTAACCCAAACCGGGATGTTTTCCTAAACCCAACCAAACTGTGGCTGTTTCACAACGTTAACCGTGTCATGTCATGTGACTTGCATCACAGGAAACGCTCATATGTGTCGGTAACCTGTTTTGTCCTCTAGTTATGAGGACGTGTTGCAGAAAAGCTAATGTGTTCAATTACAAAGTTAATCAGCAAGTTGTTTAAAATCAGATCTGATGTAACATCAGCTCCTGTTGTCACGTACAGTTCAGGCTCCTCTTGTCGCTGATGTGAGATCCTGGATATTAAATTTTCATCTTTCTGTAGCGTCGCAGTGATATTTGTTGTTACTGAAGCAAGTCACATGACCTGATTAAGCATAAACTGAATATTCTGCTGCCAAAATATTATTTATTTAGTTCCCCTCCAGTTAATGAAGCATTTAAAATGTTTGTAATGAACTAATAACACTTTCTACAGATGTCTGTTTAAATTTAATTTAAACTTCCGTACATTTCAGCTTGTAGTCTCTGTACAGGAGGCGTTCACAAACCCCCGACACTGCAATGCCGTTTTACACCTGCTGGTGATAGAAAACTCTATTAAAACATGGAAAGGCAGAAAAAGCACTTTTGTTTTTAGTGATTACTTAACGAGGAAAACCCTGTCACACACCCCAGCCAATCAGATGGCTTCAGAGCGGACGAGAGGACGGCTGGTTTAGGAAGAGTGACGTTCTCTCGTTAGTATGCAGATTATATGTTAATCACGCACTCATTGTCCCCTCAGAAGATTGTTGTTGAAAAACACATCAGAATGTAAAAAATATCAAAATAAAGGGAAATAGTTTTTAATGCCTCTGTTTTTATTGAAACTGTGAAACTGTTGTAGCCCCGTAGATTAACTATGACTTTACATGTGCTCAGCTTCAGCCTCTGCCGTATGTTTTGCCCTCTGGCTGTTGAGGACCTCCTCAGGCCTGCAGCTGTGGCCCCGGGGCCTTTGCCCGGTTAGTAATTCAGCACTGGGTTGAGAGAGATGAAAGAGGTTTCTGACGTCGGTTCTGGTGCAGCAGTCGGTCTTATTCTCTAGAAAAGTCTTGGAACAAGTTGATTTGTACACTGTAGATCATTACATGTCCACTTCTTCTTTTTTACTCAAAGAGCTCTGACACGTTTTGGTTTTCAAACTCGACTGCCTGAGTTTTCAGAAGTTCTGTAATAGTTCTACAGCCACCTCTTCTTAAATTAAATAACTAACTTCCAGTTAGTCCTGCCCACGTCGTAATTTAATTTGTTGAACAAATACAGATCGTGTCGTCGCTCATGCCTACTAATTATGCGCTGCAGATGAGTCATGTATTCAAATTCCAACAAAATACAAACGAGAGAAGACTAGTCCCGCCGGAGGAGGAGGGACCTGACAACGGCCTTATACATGTAAACTGAAACAGATTTGAAATGTGTTTTTTAAATCCTCTTGACTTGAAATGGTAAGTAGTATAAATGTAGTTAAATTGTTGAAACTGCGAGTTAGAATAATGCAGAAATGTATCTCAGACTAGTTAAGGGAAGTTTTCTTGCAGTGAAAATTTGTTATAACTCAAAGTATGAAATAGAAACAAGACATAAAAAGATCAACTAACTAAAAGTTAAGACAACTAAAACACTGTAGATATATCAAGTTTATGAACTTTAATTTGTGAGTTAAAACAAAGACGACCTCGAGTTAAACTAACTTGGAAATGTCTTACAAGTTACTTCTAGGATTCAATGAA